GGTTTAGGGTTTCCTAAAATTAGTGCTTCATCTGGGGGTTTCCTTGAATTAGTGGTACCTTTAAGGGGGATATAGGGGTTAGGTAGGGTTTAGGGTTTAGGGTTTCCTTAAGTTAGGGGTACCTTTAAGGGGGATATAGTGGTTAGGTAGGGTTTAGGGTTTCCTAAAATTAGGGATACCTTTTTGGGAGTCCCCCCTAATAAGGACGATAGTATTTGGGGGTCTATATTGGGGTCCCCTTATTTAGGGAGATTGTCATTTCCAGTCCAGGGTTTGCAGGTCTTAGGGCGATGCAGAGGTGTTAGGTCAGAAGACATTTCAGCGTTGTAGGATAGGGGGACAGGGGATTGAGTCCGCGGGAGAGCGGGACATAGAGAGAGAGAGAGAGAGAGAGGATGGGGTGGGGCTTTGGCCTTTTCTCCAGGAGCGATTCAGGAGGAAACAGGGAAGGCTGAGACATCCCAAAATTTGCAGGTTTCTTGTCTAGACTGAATAAGACCCTAAAACAACGTCGTCATTATTGCATAGGAGCCCCCAAAAGCGACTGCCAATTTGCGGGAACTTCCATGTCTTTGCCGGCCCTTACCTTCCATTGTCGATGCTAAGCTTGAGTTTAGAAGAGTTGTGGTGGTTTTTCAAGACCCTAAACCGGCCAGCACGTGAGAGGTTTTGCGAGGTCTCACGCGGTGCTTCAGGGCTTCGAAGTCTTGATTCCCAACAAGCGGAGGAATTTCCAGATTATGAGGTATACGTGTTGAGGCCTCCCATTACACCCCTAAAGGCCCCCATTATGCCCCCATATACGCCCATTATACCCCTATGTGAGCTATAGTCTCAACTCCTTAAGGGGGGCCATAGAAACTACCAATGTGGCTTAAATTAACCCACCATAGCACCATTCAGTATACAAGGATGGCAATATTTATTGTCAGGGTGGTGGGGGGTCATTAACGGGGAGAAGATGAAGTGAAAGTCCCCCAAACCTCTGGTTGGTGACCTGATGGGCTTCAGCGGCCCAAGTCCCCCGACAAAATTGCGGCTGGACTGCCAGACTCCTCCTTATTGCAGGGACCCCAAAACGAAGCCGAACAACAATTCCCGAAAGCTTAAACCAATATATATATATATGTATATGTATATATATATATATATATTTTGTACACATATGTACACACACATATATGTATGTATAGATGCGCAAGCGGATGAAGCCCTAAACCACTAAATCTGAAATCCTAAGCCCTAAACTCCAAACCCTAAACTTCAAACCCTAAACTCCAATCCCTACCTCCCTAAACCCTAAACTCCAAACCCTAAATCCTAAACCCCAAACTCTAAACCCAAAGCCTTAAACTCTAAACCCCCAAGCCGCTCTGAAGTCTAAAAGTACAGCCACACTCGAGGCTCTTCTTCGTTCCGCTGAGCTCTGGTGCCTCATTGTGGCTGCGTCCGGGCACCTGACATCCTCGCGAGGAGGTTTAGGGATTAGGGATTATGCTTGAGGGTTTAGGGTTTAGGGATTAGGGTTTTGGAGTTAGGGATTGGGGTTTAGGTTTAGGGTTTAGGGGGTTCTCGCAAAATGCGTGTAGGCATACATGGGATTATATACGGGTATATAGGACTACCTGGGATGGAGGGTATACAGAGGGTTATAGTGATATGCAGAGTTCTACTGGTACCTTCAGGAGATATAGAGTCTGGTGATGAGGGTCAAGCATAGAATCATACTACGGAAAAGAAGGTTGACAGTTGCGTGGAAACTGCTTAGGAATGTATTTCATTTAGGTTTTAGGGTTTAGGAACTGAAATCCGGTTCTATGTTCAAAGTTGAAAGAGCCATACCATTGTGGAAGGTACAATGGCAATCCTAGAGGCGACAAGGGGTTGAAAAATGGGTAGAGGGAGTCTCTACCAAGGATTTTATACTAATGCCTTCCCTTCAAATTTCAAAGGACGTCCCCCCCTCCCCCGGTAATATTTATTAATTGAATATTCTGGGGCCCCTAATATTGGGGGGTGGCAGGGGAACGGGGGGGTGGCTGGTTATTGATTCCTTGCAAGAACTAGATAGGCTGCCTTTGAGGTCCTCTTGGGCTCCATGGAAAATCAACAAGTAATGAATCATGAAGTAAATCAATGAATTAAGTACATTATTTAGTGGTTAAATAGTTAATCATTTGAGATTAATTGAGTAGTTGCACCACTGAATAGTTGATAGATAATTCCAGAACCTTTCCTGATTCATTATTAGTTGACCCTTTTTGAAATTAGTCTTACCCTTTTGAAGCTGCTCTTCTGGATTCTAGGTACCTGAATTCATTACTTGACATTAAGGGAGATCTAATATTGGGGGGAAGGGATTCTTTCTGGAGAAGCTCTCAGCACACCCGTCCACGTCCAGAACCGACAATGAACCCATGCTGAGCCAAGTACAGGCGAATCTTTAAACGAGGTCTTGATATGATTCCTGCCTACCTATGGTCCATAGAAACCATGCGCCACAAGAGGAGGGGCAAGTGTTAGCACAACTAAGCCCTAAACCCTGAACCCTAAAACCCGGGACCCTAAACCCTGAAGCCGACACCCCAAACCCTGAAAATCTGGCAGCTTCGCATGAAACAAAGATTTGGGCTCGAAGGCAATGCTTACCGGCTCTAGGGCCCAGTAAGGGTCCAGGCACGGCGTTTGCCCAAACCCAAATGGGAGTTTCCCAAAATGAGGGGTGCGTTTGAAAAGGGTTATGGGGTGAAAAAAGGGAAAACATATACAGGGATATGTAGAGTCTAGGGTCTCCCAATATTAGGGTACCTTAATGGGGAAGTGGGGATGCCTCAAATGGTATGACTTGTTTTGCAGGTGTTCGCTCTGCAAGGCTAATCTAGCAGCAATAGGTCTGCTGCATTACAGGCAGGCAGATGCAGAGAGGCATCAGCGTGCATACTAATAGTATTACTGATACGAATACTAATATTAATGCTAGTACTAATACAAATACAAATTCTAATGCTAATACTAAACTATTACAATCGAGGGAATCCAAGCTGCCACCCCAATGCACAGCGTGGGTTGGATCCTCGTTCCCACACCCAGTAACAGCTGCGTAATAAGTATCATAGGAATGATAACACAATTATGTCTTGCCCTGGATCTAACCCCCATTATGGACTGCTACTAGGTGGGAGCAGTACCTGAAGCATGAGTTCCAATTTCAATATCAAGAGATGCACCACGTCAGAGCCATGATGTCCGCTTTCTTGTTGCTGGCGCTGTTTTCGGATTGCCTGCTTACTGTGGTGGCAATGCCGCTGGAAGGCTCCACCCAATGCCCCTGCGTCAACCACACGGACTCCAGTTACGGCCGGGGTTGTAGGGCCCACGATATAAATGGCTCTCACTACCCTCAGTGCCTGTCTGCGGAGCCTCCGAAATGGTGTGATGACCACTGGTGCTATGTCGACAGGAGCAACTGCGATGTTACAAATGAGATTAGTGCTTCAGAAGGCGCTGAGAAGTACTGGAGCTATACCACTTGCGGCTATCGAGACTTGTTTCTGGAGTGTACTTCGCATGCGTTTTCCATGCATGTTCTCTTGCAGTCTTTCACAAGCTGGTATTAGCAGCTTTTGGTTGTCTTAGTTTCTTGTGCTGGCGACACTGTAGGTTTTCCTTGGCAAACATCACCGAGAGCATCCGCGGCCAGACGCTTCGTGTCCTCTTCATCAGCAACACTGGAGGTTGGAAAGGCAACTATGCCGGTCTTCTAGCGGTAGGGGGGGTTCTGAGTCTTAGCGTCTTCAGGGGTGTAGGAGAGTATTGATAGGGGTTACCAACTGCCTAGACACAACGAAGGAGAAGGAATCAAGGATTGGATCCTTACAGTAGTCCCTATACATTCCTGGATAGCAGTTAGCTCCATATTCTTTTCAATTTCTCCATTCCCTGCTAACCAGAGGCAAGATAAGTAATCCCTGGAACTCTAGCCTCACATCCATAACCTCCACAACCTAGCCCTTAAACCTTAAAACCTATTCCTTAGCCCCTTGAACCCTAAACCCTAAAGCCTAAACCAAAATCGCTCAGGCAACTACTGCAGCGAGCTGGGTCAGATTTGCGTCAACCAGCGCGGCCGGGGGCCGACCCAACGAATCTGGGTTGCTGTTAAGGAACTTAAATTAAGTTACCATAATGGGTATATATAGTAATTAATATGGTTTCCCAAATAGAGTAACTTAGTTTAAGTTCCTTAACAGCAACCCAGGAATAATTGACACCCTCACGAACTCTGCGGGCTTCCGCATCGAGCAGCAGCAAGATGTGGGCAGTTCTCAAAATTTCGGTCTCCTCCTGCCCCCAAGCCCAGAGACCCTTAGAATGCTCCTTCTACGGACCCTCTAAGACGGATGCAACTTGAGAGCTCCCAGGTGTCTCAGGCAGTCTTGGAGCAGATGGCCAGGGTCAGTTCATCCAGCTCCCAGTTTGACTTGTGCACATGGGCTACAGGCATTTGTCTGCATCATTATTTAGCGGTGGCTTTCTCTCAGGGATCCTAAAACCTTAAGCGACGTATGTCGCTTGTCTGCTGCCATTGAACCTTGAGCCTGTAAACCGACCTACAAGGCCTTGCACCTAGCCTCCTCGGTGCAGGCATGGGTTTCGTCGACATTTGCGGCTGCTCCATGGTGATGTTGCCCAGGCGTACGGACGCCAGCCCCTTCATCACCATGTGGTCAGAGCCTGTCCCTTCACCAGAATATATGTAAACTTTCAGTTCTCTTGCACTTTTCAAGTCCTATCACGAAAAGCAGCATCTAAGCCTGGAGCAAGAGGGCAGAAGCTAGGTCGGATTCTTGCAAAAGTGGGTCCATCGATCCCGCCCAGATCCCTAAAAAGCTCGTAGCCCTAGAGTCACCAGTTAAGGGCTTAGGGCTAAGCATTGTCAAATTATCGGTGGGCCTAAATGAACACCTAGACTGGAAAACAGAATGGAACAGCGCGTTGAAATCGGGGTTATAAGTTTTAAAGGGGTTGCTAGGAATAGTTACCATTAGGAGGATGCACTGTATAATTCTGGTTCAGGGTGCCTCAAATGGACTTCAATATGAAATCGGCCAGTATTCTTTAGTACCCAACTTCGCCAATCATGACACGACATATGTCAAAGGCTTTAAGTTTGTACCCTTATAATGTTTGTAACCCTAGGTCTTGGGTCCCAAATACCCATATTTAGGGTCTTTTTCCATGGTTTAGGGGCCCAAACCCAAGGGTACAAGCCCTAAGGGTACAAAGGAAAACTCCCTGAATGTGGCGAGCTCCAGGTCATAATGGTGGGACCTACGCGGTTGGAACAGCCTAGCGATGACTTTGTGTCCATGCTGGGCAGGGCCTTCAGGCCGTTCAGCCCATCTCTTTGGGGGACGGTCCCTGGGCTTCTTGGGGTCGATAGTCACCATTAGGTAGATGGAATATGGAACTAACCAAAATCATAACTTAGATCATCTACCCCAGACTCTACCTCCTTGAGGGGGACTGTAGGCTTTGGAGCTTGATTAAGGGTTCACGGAGGGCCTACGGTTTAGCAAGATGCCTCTTTTTCAATACAAGCCTTCCTCAGAATCGGTTCCATGCCTCAAAAATATGTTCCAAAGTGGGAACTTGAACTCAAGGGGTCCGTGGACTGCTCAGGTTCTTGTGATGGCCCTGTCCATTTCCTTCCTGATCACGCTGCTGGAGCCCGGGGCCCTTCCTTGATTCTGTCTAGGGACCAGAAAACCCAAGTCATACTCAATGAATATCCTGCAGTCTTCGGTATCTCCTATGACGGATAAAATCATTTTTTAGTGCGCGCCTTGCCTACCTCGGTTTTGGTTGGGAATTTGCAAGGCTGATGCCTTTCGGCAAGGATATACAATCACATACACATATAGTAGTTCCAAAGTTTAGGGCCCCGTATAGCCACATTTGCCATGCCGAACCACACTCACAACTACCAAAACCAGGTTGGACAGATCGCAGCAGTTGGGGGTCACGAGCACTGGAGCTATAGTATTTTGGCAGCGTAAAAAGGGTCCTCTATTTCTGGAAACTCCCATACGTGTATACATGTACATGTACAGTTGCGGGCGACCAAATCTTCTTTACTGTCAGCTCTACTGCCGCTACGAGACATGATGCTGGCCGTTGCCTTGGAAAGAGGTCCAGCACAATCGAGAGCAAAGCCTTACAGTACCCATCACGGCCATGACTTGCTGATGGGGGACTTGACATGTCCCCTTTCGGTCTATCTTTTCCGCAGACCCCAGAATATGAGAACTCCCACTGACTGCTGAACGCTGGGCACGAAAAATCCCAGGTTCTGACCAGGTAAGATCCTTTAGAGTTGAGGAAGTCTACCTAGTTACTTATATTCCTCACAGGCTGTTGAGCCTGTTGAGCCTGTTGTTGTTGTTGTTGTTGTGGTGGTGGTGGTGGTGGTGGTGGTGGTGGTGTGGTTCTACTAGCTGATATTGAAAACCTGCATGATCCACCCTATCAACCCCTAGAGGTTTCCTTTTCATTGTCCATGTTGTTTTCCATTTGGTTTCCGTTACCGCAGTCTACTACTCTCTACACTTGGAATACATTAGGCCAATGCCCTTTACAGTATTACCCCGGAAATATGGAGTTAATCGGGCCTTAATATACCTACAGTTGTCCCTTGTGGTGCCCATTGCCGGGTGGGGCGAGATTGATCCAGGGAATGCCATGAAGTGGGTGTCAAGCTTCGAGGGATCCCTGTCAAGCCCTAAACCGTAAACCCTAAACGTCAAGTTATGGGAAACCGGCCTGGAATTTCGTCGGTATTGGAAGCCTCCTGAATCCAGATAGTCCAATGTAGGTAATAGGGTTGGGGGATTAGGGAACAAGGGTATATGGTTGGGCATCCAAGTAGCCCTATGTAGGTAATATTTACAGACGCCCAACGTAGGTTTCCTTTGCATACTCGGATCCCTAGGTAAACAAATCTGCTCGAAAGCTTATACAGGCCGACAACTGAATATTAAGTATCTCCACCATAGGACCATCTCTTGCATTGCTTCCTTTAATGGACCTGCAAGTGCCAATCATACCTATATACTAGGTTGTCAACCCCTTTCCGGGTCCCAATATATTACGGGCTTTTTAGGTTCCCCAAAACGGAACAGTTCGGACAACGTACCATAAGATTTGTGCCCCCCGAGGAGAAGGGCGAGGGCGGTCAGTTTCAAGAACTTGACACCAGCTGGTTCAGTCATGGTTTCACGTTTTGCTTTTCTGGGTTCCTGTTATGGTACTCCTGATCCTGGAAAGAACGGGCGTTTGTTGGGTCTTGCCTTTGGGGTGTATGGTATCGGCTTGGCCCCCCGGAGCCCCTGTACAACCTACCCCCCCCGCTAAACCCCGAACTCCAAAAACCCTTTCAAGGGGTAACCAGCGAGGTCCCCAGCTAAGGAGCGTGTGGATACATTTGGTGCGGGGCTCTTCACGGCTTTCTTCAGCCTGGTTACCTTCGAGGCAGAGTATTCCTTGCTGGTTCAGAGTAGGAAATGAGAAAAATGTATTCCCTATATAAATATAAGTCTCTTATTCCCTACTACCCCACAGTAAGCTTAGGGGTTGAGGATTTAGGGAGTTTGTAGGGCGTGTAAGTGGCGAGTTGCTAGGTGAGTAGCCTTACATAAGGCTGACATGAGAAGCCAGGAGTTGCATGATCACAACCTAGGTGAGGCTCATCCAGGAAGGAATCCTCTCACCCGGAATTGCGGGTGCATGCGAACATTGTTTCACAACCGGGGCATGGGGGTTTATGAGTATCTGAAGCAGTTTTTGGGGTCTACATGATTTTTAGTGAAGTGTACCTAGGGTTCAGGGGAGTGTTGGTGAATGGTGAATATTTTTGCATGTTTACATGTGTATGTTTATATAAACGAAAATACTTATGCTATGGTGTATACATATACACACATGCATGTGACCGGCCGTCCGCGTCGCAAGACCGGCATCGAAAGCCATGACTCACATAATGTACGAATCTCGTATGGATTGGGATGATAAGGTAGTCTGGAAACTGAAGGTCTCAGCCAGCAGAACGCCATGGATTCCGCTACTATCCTCATCTGTACTACCCGTCCAAGATTTCAAACTCACTATAGCCCACAGCTCCAACTGTAGCTGGGTAGCTCCAATGACTTGGGGCAGATCCCTTGATGAACCCATGGTCCATATGACTCTAATATGACCCCACAGCATCCTCATCATCTCCTACATTATCTGAGAAAAGATGCCAGATAACACCGTGCCCCAAATCCTCCGAGCCCCCGCCACACCCCGTCTGCCCAAAACTATGAACTCTGAATCCCAGTCGAAGGCAAATGCAGGAGGAGATTTACCGTGTAGGGACCTTATACAAGCCATAATATAAATTCAATACACAATTCCAAAAGGTCCCGAATGCTCTTAAATTGCATATAAACTCCCCCCATGGGTAACCCCCCTCGCGAGATAACCCTTAGCCCGCACTCCACGCCCTAAACTCCAGGCCATGGTACATAAGATCTGAACCCTACCGGGGGTTATATCGGGGATTATATTGGGATTATATTGGGGTTCTATTGGGGATTATATTGGGACCCTAAACCCTAAACCCTATAGATCTAAAGCTCTAACTTACACGCCTGAAAACCCTTGAGGTGCAGTTCCAGCCGCAGACAGTTGGAGGGCGCATTCTCACTCTTGGTCTGTCCTTCATGTTGCTGGATCGTTATGGCCAAAATATAGGGATTTCACCGCTCCCCAAATGGTGGTTTAGATGGGACAGCGGTTCCACACTTCCTTAAGCTCAAGTTTTAAAATGGTTATGCACTAGACAGCAGTTTTCGGGCTCAGAGAGATTAAGATTCGGGGTTTGGGGTTTGGGGTGCTCTTTAAGGCTTTGGGACTTAGAGCTTAGGATCTCAGGAAGTGCTTGGCAAAACTAACATGGAGACCCAAACAGGTGTCTTTCAAAAGTCTACAGTTTCTGCAAAGTCAAACCCTAAACCGCGGTTCCATGTTTGATTGGAGAAGGCCGCTAGAGTTTAGGGCTTCGGCTCTTGGATGAGGTCTCACACGATTTACACCTTTCACTGGGTTGCTGTCGGTGATCTTTTGTTGCTGCAGGTAGGTTGGGGATCCTTTGTGAGTTGTATGCTAAAATTGCTGGAAGCAGGTTTTCCTTCGTTTCCGCCTGGCGCTCTTTTACTTGTCTGCGTGTCTTGTGCGGTTTGGTTTTGGCTTTGTAGATGCTGTGACAGCATTCTCTTTGTGTTTTAAGATTCATTTGGAGTCGCACTTCTTCACGGCTCCACACACAGACAAGGTTGGTCCTGCTGGTCTCTGGCTATACAGCAACTCAGCTGGCGAACAGCGTTTTGAAATCTTTGCGTCTTCCTAGTACGTGCTGCGCATAACTGGCACTCCAGATGGGCTTTGAGAGTAGCCTTCTTTTTTTGGAAGAAAGGACCCCAAACCTTAAACCCCAAACCCTAAACCTTATACACCCTAATCCCTCCCCGTGGGCCTTACTTGAGGCTGGGGGAGTCTAGTGGTAACGTGGGTTTTCGTATAGGGTACAGTTGGGGGTAGTATCCCTAAACCCCTGAAACCGAAAACCCTAAATCCCTAAACACTAAATCCCTAAACCCCAAATCCCTAAACCCTAAACCCCTGAATCCCTAAGCCCTAAACCCCTTAAAAGGCCACTCTGGCATCCTTTCTGGTCGTGGAGAAGCGTCTGACGTCACCCATTGACAGCCTTGATGATGCAATCCGGCTGAGCTACAAGGTGGGAACTGGGTTCAGGTCTCCGCCAAACCTGAAACCCTAAACCCTAATCATAAACCCTAATCCTAATCCTTAAACCCTGAACCCAAACCCTAAACCCCAATCCCGGTCTTAGGGCCTTAGGGAAGGGCCTAGGGCTCCGAGTTTTTTTATAGTGATTCCTTAGGTTCAAGCCTCCTCTGAGCAGTAGTGACCGGGGGGGGATGGTACTTATATTTGTGTCCCTGGATTTCCCAGTAACAGCGCAGTTAGTGGTTGGGGGACAGCCCCAAAAAAGATCCCAATTCTGGTCTTGTGTTTGTGATCGTTTTGAGATTTGCTACTTTTGAACATCACGCACCATCCTCACCTAGAGTCCATCTTAAACAAAAAGACTTCCTCAACACCATAACAAGACCCCGTAGAATTTGTACTCCATCTACTGAACGGGGGGCCATAAGCCCTGATCCCCCCTAAAACTTATAAACCCTAGACTATAAGAATACTTCGTGGTCACGGGGATCGGGGAGGAGATGTGGGCTCCCGGCTTCAGGGTTGATGGATTTGGGGTTTGTGCCCGTGGGTTCGGATCCTAAAGCCATGGAATACGGCCCCTAAGATGTCAGGGAGCCAAAGCTCAAGGGCTCAAACCTTACTGTAAGGGTACGAAGTTGCAGTCTTGGTTTGAGTCACCATAGACCCTAATAAACCCTAATAAACCCTATAAACCCTAAAAAACCCTTTCAACCCTAATAAACCCTATAAACCCTAAACCCCAAGTGCCAGGTCTGTGTCCATAGCTCTGATAGCGGCCTCGTGATGCAGAGGGGGGTCTCCGAAACCAACACCGTCGTTTTGAGCTCGAGAGGTGGGCCCGGGGCTACATCCATTGGGGTAATATTAGGGATATACTGAGGTTGTATGGGGATCATGGAAAAGAGAATGGAAACTATTACAGTGGGTTATATAGGGTTTAGGGTTTAGGGCAGGGCCTCGTTTCTGCCTAGAGGTCAAGGAGGTCAGGCTTTTCCGGTTGGGGCTACCCGTTCGTGAGCTCCATGGGAGATATAGGGCCCCTTAGCATGTGCTGCTTGGTCTATACTGGTGTTGGATGGGGAAGACATTGAGCGGTGCGACATCTTGAAGAGTAAAAGTTTTTGGGCAGAGGAGGGGAGGGAAGTTCCAAAACTGGGGGGGGCGCGTGTTGGAAATCCTTGGGGATTGAAAAGAGCCAGCCGGGGCTTCTTGCAGGGATTGCGTAGGAAGATTTTTTAGAAGCTCCCCAGAAGCGGTGTACCTCAAAGCCCGAGCCCTAAATCCTAATTAATATTATTAATATTAAGAATATTACCAATATTAGTAATATGAATTATTCATAATATTAATATTATTATTATTAATACTATTAATATTGTTATTAGACCTGACTGTCAGAGGCGACGTGTTACCAAGCATCGGCTCCTCCTGCGACGTGGCGGTGCTGCGGCAAGAGGATTTCGAAGCCTCCCAAGCTGTGTCTCAATTTCCGTGCAGTAAACATATTTTTCTTGTATTGATGCCAGTTTACGGGGACTAGCGGACGCTGCTGCTGCTGCTGCTGCTGCTGCTGCTGCTGCTGCTGCTTTTGCTGCTGCTTTTGCTGCGGCGACGCCGGCAGCGGTGGCCGCTGCTCCTCCTTTCCGCTTGAGCATCCCAAGGTCAACCGGGGCAGCTTCTGCGAACTTACGAAGATCGGAGATCCCATCTCTGCAGGTTTAATTGGAATGGCCGTCTCGGAGAAGTGGGCATGGGCTTCTTGGCAGTTGCAAGACAATTCTAAACCAAGAACCGACTTATGATCTACGATTCTACGTATTTCCGCGATATGCGCGCCCAGCCTAGAACATTTTGGCTGGCCAGCTCGAGAGACGTGAGTTTCAGCTTCATATTCAAACCTTGAGGCAAGGTATTTCGACAAGTAGATGCCATGAGTGACCGATATACAAGGTAACAATACCGGTGATCGTAAGCGGTGGAGGAGGCCTAAAGCATTTAAGGGCAGCAGTCAGGATGTGAGCCTACAATTTGTAAGGAACTTGCGCGAAAACTTGAACACCGGGGTTGCTAGTTGCTTTACCTTACCTTAATCTGCATCTTGGGAAGGCAGCTGGCATCTGGGCGAGTTTCAGCTGGTAAGGGCTTTCGCTTCGGCGCTCAGGCGGATGGAATTCAATCTTTCGTATTGGTACCAGCCTAGCTTAGACCCCAAAGTAATGATTCTTGACTCATGTTTTGGGGTTCAATGTTTCTGGTTTATAGTATGCCGACCAAGTGAGGCCTTGCGCTATGCAATGACAACGATTGACCAAGAGGGGCATGTGCAGGATGCGCTGAACGCATATAGGCCTGAGGACTTCTGCAGCCGCGTGGCACAAGAGGCCTTGTAGGGTCTAAGGTTTGGTGTTACGGCTTAGTGTTTGGGTACAAGGTTTAGGGGCTAGCCGCTAGGGTTCAGGGCTCCCCCCACAGGGTGCCCCAAAACAAGTCATGGACTGCTTGGATACTAGTTGCCCAGTCGCAGGGCCCAGCTTCCATTATGATTTCCATACGATTCTCCATTCTTGGGGGTAGTATCCCTAAACCCATATCCCCAAATTTCCGTACATATCCCTGCAGACCCTCCATGTATCTCCACCCCTAGTAGATTTTTACCCTACATATGTATCTGTCCCCAACCCTTCCATCCCTGCAAGTAAGCCGCCCTAACCCCTAAACCAGGAAACCACCCCAAACCCTAAACCAGTGAGCCACCCTAAACCCTTTACCAGTTGGCCACCCTAAGCCCTGACCCTTAAACCGTGAAGGCACAGGCAACAGCCGAGCCTCCCGCGCTTCAAGTCGAGGGCATGGCTGGACCTTTCGTTCCCTGGCCTAAAACTCTAGTACTTGGAGGTTCAGTTCGACAGGCAGACCTGCCAAAACTTCCTGCATACGGTTGATACTAAAACCTTGCATAGGCTTAGCCTTTGTACACTATAGCACTATAATTTTACAGGTTCAAGGTACTTCAGGCCATGCTCGATTTTTGGTCACCACCTGTGTAGCGTCTTAACCAGTATAGAAGCTTCCTCATGTCTCCCGTCAAAAAAAGGCCGAAGGAAGTTGTAAGTCCTGCAACTCAGGGCCTTGATTGCCCTAAAAAACAGGTTTAGAGAGTAGGGTTCCCTGTTTATTACCTTATATTACCCTAGAGAACCATATAGCGCCAATATTATAAGAAGGGTTTGGGGTTTTGGACTTTGAGGGTAAGACTGAATATATGACTGAAAATTCAGAGGTTTCCTAAGATTAGAGGTACCTTCTTGGGGGCCCCCTAATACTGGATTACAGTGTTTTTGGGTGTGTCCATATTGCCGCCCCCCTCCCCCGCGTGTTGAACGCTTGCGGGCTATGTGAAAGCGGCGTTGCTGGGACACATACTCAACCCATCCAAAAACGGCCGTCAAATAGACGCTGAAAATTCGCTCGCTCCGTACCCTGACGCTGCATGCTACGCAAAAGAATAGACATTAATTATAAACGCTATCGCGCGCCCGCCTCGGCTGGCGGGTCGCGGAGCACACGAACAGGTCATGGGGTGTAATAGTTGACACGTGGGGTTTAGGCTCGGGGGAGTAACTCAGGCAAGCCTCACTTCAGGCTGTTTGTTGCATGCGTGTTGCAGCATGCATTGGAGGGCCGGCTTAGTCCATCAGCCTTATAAGTGAAGGAGTTCGCTAGCTTCGAGAGCTGCAGCCAGGTACTCTGAAAGGCTCCGCTTGCATTAAGGCAGGCCATGAGGGCTGAGGGCAATGAGCATGAGCCCGACGAGGCTGCTGTGGCCGCCGGGGCGCCGCCCACGAACCCCACATCAGGCGCGATAAGCGCGCTGACCGCGCTGAAGGCGCTGGTCGCTGAGGGCGATGAGGGAAGGAAGGGCGATGAACGCGACGAGGGCGCTGAGGGTAATGAGGGCGATGAGCGCGATGAGCGCAATGAGCGCGATACCGGCGCTGAGGGGGCTGAGGGCGATGATCGCGATGAGCGCGATGAGGGCGCTGAGCGTGCTGAGGGCGCAGGGGGCGATGAGGGCGATGAGGGCGATGAGCGCGGCGAGGCCGCTGTGGCCCCTGCCGCCCACCAACCCCACGATGAGGGCAATGAGGACGATGAGCGCGCTGAGGGCGCCAAGGGCGCTAAGGGAGATGAGTGCGCTGAGGGCGATGAGCGCGACCAGGCCGCTGGGACCGCCGCCCACCAAGCCCAGATCTGGCGGATGAGGTCGATGAGCTCGCTGAGGGTTAAGTACATGGTCTGTAAAAGGGTGAGTTTCATGGTCCCCTCAACGAAGCCCTACGCATCTACCCGATAAGATGAACGGAGTGACAGGGGGAAAGCCATGCAGAGATATGTGTTAAAACCACTCTCCTTGTTCACCATGCAACAAGAGGCATGAAGTGGCAAAGAGGGAAAGCCATGTAGAGACCTATGTTAAAACCACCTCATTTTCAACGTGCGATAAGATGAATGGAGTGACGTAGGGAAAGCCTTGTAGAGACAAACGTATGTTAAAACCACCTCCCTTTTCACCTTGCAAGAAGGAAGCTGAGCCATGTAAAGATTTGTGTTAAACCACTCCCCTTTTCACATTGAGACAAGATGAATGGAGTGACAGAGGGAAAGCCATGTAGAGATACGTGATGATATAAAGCATATAAAAACCATCCTCCTTTTTCACGACGCAATAAAAGGCATGAAGTGGGAAAACCTTTCGGTTTCCAAGTGCGCGTTTCCGATAGCTTTCCAAAATCGCCTGCGGTTCCGCAGTCAGTCCTGTTTCAGTTTACAACTCCGAGCGCGGAGTAGTCTCCCAATCCGTGCGCCGTAGTTTCCGTGTTCGATTGCTTTCCAAAATCGCGGACGCTGCCACTTTCCGCAGTCCTGTTCCAGTTTACAATTCCCAGCGCGCATTAATTTCCGAATCCGTGCGTAGTAGTTTCCGAATCTGCACGTAGTAGCTTCCGAATCCGCATTGTTTAATTTCCG